TCATCATCTCTCTCTCTCTCTCTCTCTCTCTCTCTCTCTCTCTCTCTCTCTCTCTCAAATCACAATGTTATATGAGTACCACAATGCACTACATTCAGTGATGGAAGACAAATTCAAATAATTTAGTTAAAATAGCAATTTACAATATCACACTATAAAAACACTGGTACAAAGAATACTGGTAGAGGTGCAGGTAGAAGAAGTCCTGCATTCAAAAGTTACTGATAAGACTATTGGCAACAAAATTTATTTTAATTATCAAAGTAAAAGTATTCATTATTGGATCATTATTGATACTGGTACTTTCATGTTGTGACTTCATGTTTGTCAATGCTGAGGCCAATTAACGACTTCATGTACTATTTGGTAGTTTAATCTGCAATATCACAGTTAACCATAGCTGTGACTGCATCATGCTAACCAAACTAGCAGCTTGTCCTAATATGGTCATTTCTGGCCCTAAAAGTCTAAGATGGCTACGTCCATTATATTACAGGCTGTGGTTCCATTCATCAGTCATACTGTGGGACGCAATTAATATCACAGCCTCAAGGAGCTGCAAGTGGGGCTCTACACTTCATTAGCCTACATTTGTTTTGGTCACGCCAAGCTTGACGTAAAGTAAAAAAAAAGAATTTGGTCAATTGTGATGGAATTAGTGTTACGAAACTGAGTAACAGCTACTTCAACTTAGGTTTTCAGGGAAAATAGATGAGCATGTCAACTCTTTCTTAGTCCGTGTTAAATCAGGGCAGCACTGGCTGCCAAAGTAGCATTTGTTGCAGACATTTATTTTTGACTGTCTCCCAGCAATGATGTATTTAATCATTGCTTTTCTATTAGTGAAGACTTCACCCTCACTTACAACTGAATGCAAATCAGTTCTCTATATCACATGACTTGAACTCAAGGAACTCATAAACAGCTGCAGGAGCCATATTTTTGATTTCTCTCACCATTTCCTCTGTTTAGCTGTTTTGACAGTTAGTTGACATTTGCCTGAGTGGATAACGATATAATTAATGCTCCGACTGTAACGACAAATGGCACGGTTATATGCAAGGCCTAATAAACAGCAAGTGCTATGGGGTGTTTTACCAAAACATTTGGCATATTCAAATAGCCTGTACAGGCTGATGTTGGAATAGAGGACCCCCGAGAAAGTACCAGTCTATCCTGACTGGAAACTCGACACATTCAGACTGACAGCGTATGCCCCACCATAAAGATGCACTGGGAATGAGTCACAAGTGTGGCTCAACTGCTGCCATGTTAAACAAATGAGCATCTATGAGGCAGCTGTGTGAGAAATAAGGTATTAATTACAAGACAGATGAACCCTACAGATATTGGATGATCTGTGCGGAGGGATGATGTAGTTGCTGATTAAATCCTGCCATAGCAAGCAACATCTTTATTAGAATCAAATATCCTGAAATGCTGCATGGTCAATCAGCATTTTACATGGGACTGTAATTGCAAGATTTAAATTTAAAGCTTTTTGACCAGCTCTCTCCAACATCAGGCATATTTTCTATTAGGGTTGGGTTTGACATTTTTTTGATAGTGCCAAAACTATGAAAACTATGCCTCACTGTAGGAAACCCTTTTTCTATTGCACAGAAAAAAGCCAAAATTTACAAATGTTAAATGTTGTTTAAATAAAAGCATCATTAAAATAAATAAATACAGCGGAAAAAAAAGCCAAGATTTTTATTCAAATAAAATACGCTGTGACCTAACCAGGCTTGATGCCAGCTGTCAGTACTTGCGAGTTTTTGACACTCTTCATACTGAAGTTATTATAATTCAATATCTTTTATCCAAGTGAGGAATATCTGTCATATAAAACATTGTTTTTCAACATATACTCATCCGTTATTATCTACATCATAAGACTGATCAGTACACTATGTTTTTCTGGCAGCAGAGGTACAGTATGTATCTCTCTGTCAGGAGAGCAGATTTTAACTTTAACACTGACAGTCAGACACAGAGAAAAAGTGAAAGAGAGGCCATGGCAGCAGTTAGTAAGGAGCTGCTCTGTGTGACTGTTACAAGTGGCGCTGTAACGAAACCCAGCAGCAGGTGGGGATGATTGACAACTCATTTAATCTGAGGATATCACACAGTTTCTTACACTGGCCTAAAAAACTGCTGAAAATGAAGCGATGACTGGCTAAAATACAATGGTTTTTGAGCTTCTGGTATGCTGGTAGGCTGATTTTATTATCTTTGGATAAAGCCAGGCTAACTGTTTTCCTGTTTCCAGTCACTGTGCTAAGCTAAGCTAAGCTAATGGGGTCCTAATATTTAATGTGCAGACAGGAGAGTGGTATTGATCTTTTTATCTAACTCTCTCCGAAAGCAAATAAGTGCATTTCCATTGTGTTGAGCTGTTGCTTTAACCAGATGCTTTACATTATGATCTTTTTAGCCAGGCTATCCCTATGGCTCTAGGGATGGTGATGTTGGGCAGTTTATCTGTCAGCTGGGCGGGTCAGACAAAAATATCTCAATCACTACTGGACATTTAATTGCCTTTAAATGTTATGCAGAAATTCTCGGTCCCCACTGTTGAATGAGTGCCTTTGGTGAAGTCCTGACTTTTTCTCTAACACAAGCAGCAGGTCAAAAATTTGGTGGATATATTCATGGAATGTGTGATCCCTGGTGATTCACTTCACTTTTAATAGTTTAACACATGTCCAAACGTGTCCATGTCCTCATACTTGTTAGATATGATGATGTCTTTGAAAGGATTAGAATGTTCTATTTGTTGAAGTCTCTCTTTTGTCATTAAGGCTAATAGGAATGGCCTTAATTTTACACAACAGACAATTTGGCAATTTATTCAAATGTGTCATCACATAAAACTCGCACATCCTTGATGCAAATGATGGGATGTAAAACATTATTGTGCGAATCACACAGCTGTGCTCTGGGCAGCACTCAAAGTGCTGTCAACAGCGATGCCAACCACCTGTGGCCTCTGCATCTCAAAAGCCTTTCAACTTCATTTCTCCACTGTGGGGAAAGGATCATCCATCTTAGTGACAACCTGGAATTGTGAAAAATACCTGTGGCTGACAAGGAGGGTCCTCGAGATGCCAAGAGAGTCGAATGCAGATGGCCCAGCGCTGAATCCTACAGGCAATGACACCTGCCACGGCACTTGTACTAATATGGATGCAGCATGTCTGAGAGAAAATGGGATGTGTAATCTTCATCATAAATGACTTCCTGCATATTGCACCTGTCTTGTTTTATAATCATGTGCGGGGAAGTGATGCAACAGATGTTTGACATGCAGACACCTGCCAATATGAGCTGGGATTATTAGAGGTGTCACACTTCAGCTTTCATTCTCTCTGCACTGTGGTCCATTACAGCATTATGCAGTACGGTTACAAACATTATGTCATGAAAATCTAGCTACTTGTCTTTAAAGAACATGACCCTGACTACTGTTTTGAGGTTTGTATCTACATATTGTGATCTTAACTTTGCTCAATGTAATAGGCTATTCAGTGAAAGTGAAGTGGAAGATACAAATAAAATTAAAGACAGAATATTTTTGGGGTCTTGTTTTACATCATGGGTCTTTTTTTCATCATTTCTTTCACTTATGATAAGATTAAACTCAGAATCATTGCAGGGTTCTGGGAACACGATAATACTGTTACAACGATAGAAGCAGTGCAACAAGCCAACAGGAGAGCGAGAATGTGAGCACATACAATGTTGGCCCTCATCCCTCAATACAGAAGGAAACTGTGAGCACACAACTCTGGTAAGGACAGCACTTCTGTAAACTTGAACCAGGGAGTATTTTTAATATTACAGCCATGTTCCCAGACCTCAACTGTGTATCCAATTTAATTGAATGAATCTTTATTGTCCCCAAAGGGCAATTTGGGTGCAGCATAAAAAAACATGGGAGACTCATATGGCACAACAACAAAAACAATATCAACAACAAGTAACAAGAAACATTGCAATTAGTGTGGGTTGAGGAACGCAAAATCAAACTGGCACCACCAGTGACCCAACCTGGTCTTATTGGCTCAAAAACCATAGGCAATTGGTTTTTAAATTTGTAAATCATTCTTTATGTCTCATCAAAACTCTAAAATGCCCTGCTGGCGAAGGGGTGAAATGCTATCTATTTTTCAAGTAGATGGATATCTACTGAATGCAGTGCCATACCTTGCCAAATGTTTCATCTCCACTTTACAAACAAGATGCATCTATAAAAACTGATATTTCAGCCTACTTCCACTACTTAAAAAGTATCAAAGAAAGGGTTCACATCCCAAACTTAGAAGGAGACAACTCCCTGCATCCAGCAACTGCCTGTGGTTGTAGTTGTTGTGTGTGTTTTTGTGTTTTGGTGCATCCATTCTGGGTAAGAAATCCAAACAAGTCAACAGCCTTTGCTTGTTTACAACTGATGTATTAAAGCCTCGCTGAGCCTCTGTATCTCTGTAAACTAATCACACATTATCCAAAGTATTGTTTAAACGTAAAGAAACAAAAGGTTTCACCATATCTGCTACATAATAATGTAGAAATGTAGAACATCCTTGGTTTGCAAAAATGTACAATGCCAATGTTTTTTTTGGGCAATTGAGTTGTAGTGTCATTGGAAGGAATTTGGGATCATCCAATGGAGACCATAAATATTGAACCAAGTCTAATGACTAATAGATTGACTGGGAATTATCACAACTTCAGGATTTCCTAGAAGTGGGGCCAGTTATAAACTAAATGGCAATTTCTGTGAATAGTTGGGACCTACAAGGTGTCTGCTTTTCCTAAACTGTAGATAGACTTCTTTTTCAACCTTTTTCAACCTTTAGCTGGCTCTTTCATTTTACAATGTCAAACATTTTCAGGCATTGTGAGTGTAGGAAAAAAGAGTATCCCACAGAAGTCAGGAAGCTATAAACAGAGATAAATCCAATCTGCAACAGGAGCCTGCGTTGTCTTTACTGTACCTGTTTTGCCGGTGTTCTTCATAGATGTCTTATTGGAGGATTCGGTATCAAAGCCCTCCAGTGTCAACTCCTGATACTCTGTGGATACTTTGGTATCCTGGTCCACAATGTTGATTGGTGACTGGTTTCTCTCTCTGCATTCTGGGTAGGCTGATGCCCATCCTTCATCTGGCCCATATATACCTGAGGAAGACAAGAAAAGTAACAGGGTCCCATCACAAGAAGGATACACTTTGATGTGAAACTGAGTAGGCTTTAGAAGGATACATCAGAGAAAAATGACATTTCAGAACCATCTCATGTCCTCTGAAAACAGCTGACAGCGTACACTGCCAAGTCATCTGAATTCCAATTAAACATTGCTCACAGAATAAACACCATGAGCCCCAAACAGAGGCAGCTGCTGAAAAAGCAAAACATTTTCATTCATGTGGTAAATAGAGAATTTCAAAATGTCATTATTATGAGGCCATGATGTGTCCCGCTGCTGCCATTTGCCACATCTTATACATAAAATAAATTCTATATTTGGTTTTGCACTGCTGACCTCCCTCTCAACTTCCCCTCAGACAACCCCACTGCATTCAGTGTCAGTCACAATGCTACTGAGCTGACAGGGCTCCCTAAAACACCTCAGATGAGTTGCGAGGAAGCTAGTGTGTGCATGTATGTGTCGCCGCAGTATGTGTGGAGAGACATCCTTTGACAGTAAATGTCCATGGAGTGAAAGCCAGAGGCCAGGGGAGCACTGGAGTCACTTTTTGCAGAGGCATGTGAGAGAAAGATAGTCAGAGGGAAGGCCAGGACTGAAATGTCACAGGGCTCTGCTTTAACACCTGAGTGTTTACTCAAAGAGCAGGGCTGTAGCTTCTGGGCACACCGGGGGCTGGATGTTGCCTGAGGCCCCTCAACCCCAACCATGGACACAGTGAATTTAACACTTAGAGGAATAGTAGAGCAGTTGAAAAATAAATGTATAGTGAGCTTAATAGTATACGTGTTAACGATTGGCAGTGTTATTTCACATGTTAGTGGCTATAGGAAGTCAAAGTGATACTGGAACTTCTGGACCATGTGGATAAAACCTAAACCAAAATGATACTGATATTTACTGAATGTTACCCAAGAATATAAAAAAATCCAGTGTTGAAACATAACATATTATACAGTACGTTGTGTAGTTTAACTTGTCTAAACTGAGATAGTTATGTAAAAAAAAAAAATCAGCCTGTTCTTATCCTCAGGTCATCAAATACTGAAACTTTGTTACACCCCTCAGTGTGCAATATCAACGCCAAAGGCACCCTTAAACATCTTTATGAGACACACTGGGCTTTCAGCTAACTCCAATGTTCATCCATCTACGGAAACACTTGATGCTGACAGCACCTGACAAAGTATTAAGAGCTGGAAAGTTAGCATAGGGTAGGGGGTTTCTGGGTCAAATAGGACTTTCAACTAGCTTGTGTCAGAGTCCTGCACCAGGTCTGGTACCTGTAGATACCCACAAAAAGCTGTGTAACTGGTAAAAATATGTATACATATATGAATTCACAGGCATGGGTAAAAGTACACACAAGCAGGGAGTGAGTGAAAACAAAAATCTGTTTTTTAATTTTTTTATTTGTCAGAATAAAAAAAATGAAAAAGATCTATATGTGTAATATTCTGACATCTTAATCACTATAATCAAGCCACAACTCCTTTTATTTTGAAAGTCAATGACCCAAGTAGAACCTTTGAACCTGTCGTCACATTTGTCACCGATGTGGAAGACTCCAGCAATGAAACTGTGCAGCACGCGGATGAGGTAGCAGCCTACATTGAGTTTAAGACACTCAAGGAGGATCCTTTTGAGGTTTTATGGTGGTGGAAGGAGCATGCTAACATGTTTCCTAATTTGGTACATCAAGCGCAGCTAGTGAAAGAGATGTTTCCTCTGCTGGTTTTGTAATTCAAGAACATAGAACCTATTTTAATGACTGTAGCCTTTGTGTGTTTAGTCATGGCTGCTGGTGGGGTCATGAGACTTTTATGAACAGGTGGGGCTTTGACTTAGACACAATGGCCAGTAAAGAGTCAGTTCTGGTACTGAGCTCTATGGATATGGGCAGGAGCAGGTTTTCAAAAAAGGACCCATGCAGGAATCTGGTTTGTCTCCCATGAAAAGCCAAAAGTCAATATTGTTTCAACATAATGCTACATAAAGTACATACCTAGATCCCTCGTGCAACAAAAAGTCAACATTGTTTTATTGTAAACTCACATAATTTACATTTGGTCGTCGCACACTTAGGTAACTCATATGACATATTTACGCCATGTTATGTTATCAATATGTAACAAACATACTTATTTTAACCCAAAAAATCTTTTTTTTCTAAACCTAACCAAGTAGTTTTGTTGTCTTAACTTTATCATGACCATTTCATATTAACCATGTGTGTTTCAGCTGTGTGTCATGTAGGGAGGATGACCTGGGATTCACTTTGAGATGCCCAGTGGCATGCCACGTAGTTATTTGATTTATAGTTATTTGATGACCTGGGAATGAGAGTGGGTTGAAAATATATGTGCTATTGTTGTTTAAATTTCTGCTAAGGCATTTAAAGGACAATTCACCATACACTCTAGACAATCAAGGGTTAAACACCAGCTGGACAGAAAAGACCGAGTCAATGAGTCGAGTCAAGTTGAGCTTACACTGAGTGGGGGTGAGTAGCTGGATGGTCTTGTGGGTTAAATGTGTCTGATCATATAATGGAGCCATGAATGCTGGGTAGGAAAGGTTAAAACGGTCTAATCCTGACTGTAAATGGAAAACATGGCATTTCACAGCTGTTAGAATAGCCCATATTATATATCATATATTATTATTTGCTTCTGAAACACATGGAACATTCAAGGTTGATATCACTTCCATAATGATGAAAGCTGAAATTACTGTTAAAGATTGTATTTCATGGTGTCTGCTGCTCTGTTTTGCTCTCTTCCCCATTCCTATTGCTGTGAGCTGATCTGTGTTAATGCATATGACCTTTGCCTTGATGGTAAAAGTTAATAATGTGCACCTTCTAGAATAGACCTGAAATGTAACAAGTGGATGCATTATCATTTGTTTATCATTAATGGGTCTCCAAAATGCATTTGTTGTGAGCTTAATCACGAACCATTTTTAAATGTATTCAGTAAGTTGCAAAATGTTTAGATGTAGTGTCGAGAGGGGATCAGTTAGGAAAGCTGAAAAACACTGTATGACATTTTCTGGTTTTAAATTGGGTAACTTTCCAACATGTCTGATGAGTGTGGTCATAATAGTGTTTTGTCACACCTGTGAATTTACCCTCCAGTAATGTTACACTGTACTGACACACCTCAGTTCACTTGTACATCACTGCAGCAAGGTTCAACCCCCACAGTTCAGTTTAAACTAGATTTGTAGGTGCTGTTGAGTTGCTCATGCATTGCAGTTGTGAGGTTTTAAAAAAGACAATATCAGAAGGCAACAACCTGGTATAACAGAAATACATGGGGGGGACTAAAGTCAGATTACGTGGTGGCATGTAATGTGATAAAATTGCATGCCAGCACTACAGTTACAGTGCCAAATGGAAAGTCAATGAGAATTATTTGTCATAGTTGACACACAAATTCCCTAGTTCAAAGATGTCATGCAAAGGGATGTGGATAATGTTAAGACCCCATACGCAGTGTAAAGAGCTAGAAAGTTAAATTAGGAGGAGGTCTAGATGGTGGATGGGTTAACCAAATGTAGGACTTTCACCCAGGAGAATGCAGGAGACCACCAAACAAACACAGGACTTTCACCCAGGACCCCGCTTTGCGTACAACTCAAAGTCCACAATGACTTCTTTTAACTTTATGTACTCATGTCCTTTACATAGTTACTTCTCATTACTTGATGTTCTTGTGTCACTTTACGACATACTCACATCTTGTACGTAACAAACATTGTTATTTAATCAAAATCATGTTCTGTTTTTAAACCTAACCAAGTAGTTTTGGTGCCTAAATCCAACCATGCTGTCAACATGTAATTTCAACACAATACATGCCACCACCATGAAATGCTGTGTTAAGAGGACATGTGAGTTCACACTGAAAGGAGAGCACTAATCAAGCCTCTTGGAGGTCAGCATTAACATTATTAAAAACTGCCCATTCTCACTTTAAACTCATCAATTTGTCAATGACCATTTGTCAATGAGTTTGGTGTCAAATACCAATGAAAAGAAGCACCTTTTGCAGTGGTATAATATGCATGGGGCATTTTTTTTCTAAACCTAACCACGTGCTTTTGTTGTGTAAACTTACAAAAATAAACAGAAAACCTTCTTTCTTTTTTTTTTTTACTAGGCAGTAAGTTTATTTTGAACAAAAAAATTATGTGTGTAATGAGCAGGAACTGTACATTTCCTGTGAAAACGGAAACGTATTTTGAAAAGACCCAATCATGAAACAAGCGTCAATTTAAACGTTAATGTCCAAAACTGACACAGGAAGCCACAAGGTGCGTCATATTTTTACATTTTGGTCCTATGACAAAGCAGTGGTATTTAACGGGTTGGGTTAAGAAAGGTGTTTATAAAAATTAGGCTAAATATTAATGTTAAGCATGTTCTTTTTGAGGTTTTGGTCTTTTGTCAATGTCACTCTCTTGACGTTTTATCCTTTACTGTTGCAATGACCTAGTTTCTTCTCATCTCAGCATTGCATTTTAACTCACTATATGATACAAATCACCCGTCCACTGCCATATTTCCCTGCATGTGCCTTGAAAAAAACAATTATCCAAAGACTTGTGTATTTTCTCTGAATTAATGAGATGACACAGACACTGACATGACATTTGAAGAAGTTCATCTGATTTTGCTCTACTACAAACTGGTGTCCTGCATGTATGCTTTTTATGTGATTGCATCCTCATACCTGTCTCAGACTTGTATCATGAGATGGAAAACCTAGATAATAGACCACATGACCCTAATTAATTGCTCCACATTCAGCCCTACATTCAGATAATCTCATTTGTGTAAGGCCCAGAGCTGCTTTGCTTCAGCACCATTTCCCATTCAGGCAGCTCTGTGAGCGGCACAGACCTATAATTCTCCTGTCAGTGGAAATGAGTCAATCTCTACGATGTGGAGGATGCGACGTGAGGC